GCTAAATTTTGAAATAATGTAAGACTAAGTGGTATCATTCATTTATATTATTATTTACTACTCTAATAGCAGCCGCTAACATTTCTGTGAGTCAAGCACTGTGCTTAGCATTGTACAACCATATTTCATTTATTCTTCCCAATAGCCTGTGCATGTGGGTCCTGGCCTTATCTCCATTTAAGGCTGCAGATCAGAGAGGCTCAGCAGCCTACTCAAGGTCACAGAGCAAGCAAGCTGTGAGGCTGAGACTGGAGACCAGGGCTGTGTGACTCCGAAGCCCACACCTGCTGTCACTCGCTGCACAGGATTCATGTCACCAGCTCACCGATAACTTCTCACAGTGAGACAACTTGAAAGGGCCAGCGTCTGCCCCTTGGCATGTGTTCAAGTACCTCTGAGTGAAGGTAACTGGAGTGACAAAGACATTAAGAGGTAGTAGAGCCTGGCCGGCTTGGCTCAGTGGTTGAGCATCGACCTATGAACCAGGAGGTCACAGTTTGATTCCTGGTCAGGGCACATGCCAGGGTTGTGGGCCCGATCCCCAGTGTAGGGTGTGCAGGAGGCAGCAGATCAATGATTCTCTCTCATCATTAATGTTTCTATTTCTCTCTCCCTTTCCTTCCTCTCTGAAATCAACAAATCCTATACAATAAAAGCATAGTGTGCAAATTGTCCCCTCAACCAGGAATTTGTCCAGGAATTCAACCAGGGGGCAGGGCTGGCCAGGGGAAGGGAGGGAGGACCCAGCCAGCAGCTGCTAGGGACCCTACCAGTGCACGAATTTCATGCACTGGGCCTCTAGTGTGTGTGCGTGTGTGTGTATGTGTGTGTGTGTGTGTGTATTTTTTTTTTTAAAAAAAAGAGGTAACAGAGTCACTACATTTTAGTTTTGGTACCCCTCTCCCCCCAAGATTTGTCTTATGAAATATCTGACTGAGAAATACCATGGAGGGTGAGAAAGCCAGGGTGCCCCCAAATCAGCAAGGCTCAGCAAAACTGCAGCCAGAAACCACTAAGTTTCACCAAGTCTATTCATAGCACAGAACAAACAAGCAAAAGCAGAGCATAAAGGAAATCCTGACAACACAGCCAGCCCCTCTGAGCTGGTGAGCGGTTGTGGAAGAGCAGTGGTCTACACACCTGGCACCCCGGGGTCAGGTGTCTCTCTGTCCCTCTCCAGTTGCAGTCACCACCCAGAAATGACTTAACTGCTTCGGGTCCTGCGGGCTCCTCCTTCTAGGGCCATAACGTAATGCCCCATCTATTTTATGTCATTATTTACATCATCATCATTATCATCAACATCATTTACTATTCTATTATTACTCTATTAAGGAAGTTCAGAGAAAATAATCTAATGGAAATGCTTTGAAGAGGTTAAGTTATAAAAAAAAAGGGGGGGGCATTGTTTTGATCACATTGATCACAAAGATTTACCAGGAAGGGAAATCATTTCGCTCTCTTTTGCCAGTGTCTGCTTTAGAATCCTGGAATATTTTCAATAAAATTTTATAGAAAGTTCCATACCCCCATATTTATAAACTCTGCCATGCATTTTAAGATAAACTACATTTTGAAGTGAACATTGATTTTATTCATATAATCTCCACTAAAGGAAAAAATTTATTAATAGCCTAGTAGCAATAAGTTTGGACTCTGAGCTCTTGGGTTCAAATCCCAGCTGATTTTTACTAGGGAGGTGACCTTGGGTATGAGACTTAACCTCTCCCTACCGCATTTTTCTCATCCATAAAATGGAGACAATGATAGCATAGAGGTTGTTATGGTGATTAAATAAAATGGATTTGTCAGGATGTCCAATACAGAGTTAGAAATCAACAAATATTATCTGTTTTCATTTTCTTAAAAGGAAAATAACAAAAGGAACATGCAGGGTGGGGCAAAAGTGAGTTTACAATTGTGAGTACATAAAACAAAAAGTGTATTCTTATATAATTATTTATTGTATTATTTTCCATAGGAACAACTGTAAATCTACTTTTGCCCCCCCTTGTATTTTGCAAGACCTTCTTTTACAAATATTAGAGGATCCTAAAATAATATCGAAAAATACTTGAAAAGATGAGCTATGAACAAAAGCAGAAATGCATTTCTTCATGTTATTTTTTAAAGTACCCCAAAAGTTACAAAAGAATAGTACATGCTGAGATTCATGGAAAAGATGTCCAGGGAAACAAGAAAAAATGCATACAATAGAATTACACTAAACAAAACTGATCAAATAGGTAAACTACACCATCAATTCCAAAGAGCCTAACGTTTGTTCCATGCATGACCCAGCAACCAAAAGTAGGAGCCAAGCTTTGCGAGGTGGCAGCCAGTTCAGGCAAGGTTAAGTACTTATTAAATTACTTTTCCTAGCGCTAATTTCACAAGCAGTTTGAAGAAATAAATTTACTTGGAAATTGAGACGGTGAACACTAATGACTGGAAAGCCAACTGCACACAGAGAAAGTACAGCAATATTGATCAATTCATCCAGGGATCGAAGAGTTTATTCATACTTTTCAGCAAATATTTACCATCTACATCTGGCGAGGCACATGTGAAACCATAAGACATACAAAGAAAAATAAAGCAGTCCCTACCCTTATGTTTCATAATCTAACACAGTAAACACAGATGAAATTTTAATATAGCTCTTAGATGGGTAAAACACAGTTACAGCACCTAATTCAGTCATAAGGCGATATGGAAGGATTCACAGAGAAGGTCATAGTGAACATGCAGCCAGGAGGAGTGAGAGTGAACTAAGAAAGGGGTTAAGAATAGTCTCAAGAGTCTTCTAGGCAGAGGGAACAGCATATACAAAAAGTACATCATATGCCACTTCTCTCCTCCCTACTCTCCAAAGGCTTCCCACTATACTTAAAATCCTCAGTGCACATCATGGCCTAAAGGATCCTATATGATCTGGCCTCAACTCATCTCCTACTATTCTCCCCTTACTTCCTGCCCTCTGGACACTCTGGCCTCCTTACTGACATAAGATACACCATGCACATTCCTGCTTCCAAGCCTTTATTCTTGCTGTACCCTCTGTCTGGGATGCTCTTCTACCAGATATCTGCAAGGCTCACTTTATTCAAATGCAGTCTTTTCAGGGAAGTCTTCCGTGACCCTCCTATCTGCCATACCTCACCACTCTCAGTAAGTCTTTTTTTCTTTCTAGCACTGAAAACCATGTATTCCACTATACTCCTCTTCATGTGATATCCATTTAGTGTCTATCTCTTTAATTAAATGGGGCCAGGGGCTTTGTCTGTCTCTGGTTCAGGGCACATTTCCAGTGCCCATAACTGTACTTGCATGTGGTAAGAGCTCAATGAACTTTTGTTGAATAATTAATGAATTAATAAATGGCCTGAAGGCTACTCCAGAGACACACAGTTCAGTGTGAATGGTGCATAGGATATAAGGAGCTAGAGTAAGTTTGTTTTCTAGAAGCTATGACAACTCTCTTTTACTTTTCTTATTTTGGTCCTATACCCATTATACCCATCCCATTGGCAAGAATAGTTCTGTATCAGACATTTTCAGTTATTGCTAATCCCAATTCCCTCAGTATGGTTACCCAGATCCCGAGAGATCAACTGTAGCTAGAGAAGAGTGTCACAAAACCCCTGGCTTCCTTCCTTGGAAATGACATGTATGTTTTTGACAACCTGGAATCTTATAGCTTAAAGTGATCAAGATGGTAATCTAAATACCCAACACCTGCTAGGATTGTCCTAAAGGAACTAAGAAAGTAAAATAAAACAGCAACAAAACATATAGACACACTCAGGTAGACAATGGAGGTGTTGAGGGATCCCTTCCATTCAAATTCATGTGAGTCAGAGAGATGAGGGTTTTTCTATTCTTCAATATCGGAAGCAGATGACAGGCAAACTAGTACATATTGGGCATTAAGTGGTTGGACAATCCCAGCTTGAAACAAAGGTGAACAGAACTGGAACAGAGGCAGGACATAGGAGGTTCATAGATGGCCATCACTTTCATGTTAATTTCCAAAATGGCTTTCATCGATGGAGTCTAATGACATACCAGAGTTACTCAGCTAAATACTTAAGTATTTGACACAGCTTATTCTGTTAATTCCCACACAGAATTATACATCTAGGAGGTGGGTGCTATCATTACTTCCATGTCATAAAAGAGGACACTGAGGTTTACAAAGGTAAGGTGACAGGGCTAGAACTCAGTCCTTTCTGGCTCTTAACCATTATTTGACCACCCAGGCCCTCTCCCCCATGCACCAACCCACCCATCACAGAGTAAACTCTTTTATGTGATAAAGACATATGTTCAACTCCCTGAACCTTGAAAGGCAAACAGAGTAAAGGGCGGGGAAGCGGGGGTACCATCGCTCCTGCACTCCTTTCTCTTATGGTTGCCCGGGAGGATGCGGGGGAATAAAAACAAGGAAGGTAGGATGGACTAGGAACGATAGAAATAGCAGATCAGCTCAGAGATGACTGGGGAGATTCAAGATCCACCAATCAAATACTCCTGGGCTACAGTATATTCATTTCTCAAAATGCTCTGAGATTCTTCCTCTACCTGAAGTTCTCTCACTACTCATTTCTCAACCTGAACTTAGACTTCCACTGCACTTGACACTGCATCTCTAGCCATTTACAAGACTAAACCTCCAGGTTACACAACAGTGTTTTAAAGAGAGAATGGGCAGCTGCATCTTTTGATTGCAAACATCAAGCTCCAACCTTCTGTTTTTACTTCTGGGGTTTTGTTAAATATAGAAAACACTATTTAATAATTCTTTATTAGAATCTTATGAAAGTGACGTAATTCTGGCAAAGAGCAAAGCAAGTGAGTGAGAAGTTTTCTCATTATAACAGTTATGTAACCATCCCACATGGAAGAGCCAGGCTGAAGTCAAAATGATAAAAGACTAAAATAGCCTTGCTTCTCTCCAAAAGTTAAGGTTACAGTGGGGGATTTCAAGTGCAACATACTTCTCATATAGCCTCTGTCCTCTCATGAAGGCCTTCACTTCGTTGTCCAATGGGAAGGTGCCGTCATCCTTTCTAAAGCGGTAAAAGAGTTTGACATCCTTGAATTCCTTGTGCTCATCACACACTGAAACACAATATACAGAGAGGGGCAAATAAGAAAAAAAAATTCTTATTTATTGACTCAAATGAATTATAATGCTAATTAAGATTTGTTTTACTACCTAATTTCTCAAGCACGCTACTCTATGACTTAATACATGTAGAGTATTTAGTGTGGTACCTGGAACAAAGTAAGTGCTCAGTATTATTAGCTATTATATCATCATCATCATCATTACGTATTAAAAAGGTCACACAAAAAACAAACAAAAACAACAACAAAAAAAGGTCACCAAATTCAATTCATCATTCATTCCACAAACTCTGCTTGAGCATGATATCAGGGAAGGCATCAACCATAAAGAATGTGAAATCTAGCGAGAGAAAGAGAAATGTCAACATGTAATTAAAATAGGATGTGATAAGATTATGAAGGAGGTGAGGAGATATGGGGGCCCAAAGAAGGAGTACCCAGTACCCCAGGAACCTAGCTTTGGGGACTGGATGTTTCTCTAAAGAGTTTGCATGTAAGTGGAGACGTGAACAATGAGTAGCAATTAAGCAAAAATGAAGAGAAAGGGAATTCTAGCCCGAGAGAATACCAGCATGTGCAAGATCTTGGCCAGGGTTAGCGATTTTAAGGAGACATGTTCATGAATATTCATTGCACCATTGAGCGTAACAGCAAAAAGTTAGAAATAACCTCAATGTCCACGGATAAATGCATGATGGCACAATTATACATGGGATATATAGCAGTGAAAATAAGAAAACAGGAGATACACTACCAGTATAGATGAGACTCCCCAAAAGCACATTGATCAAGCTGCAAACGAATAAATAACCATCTCTATAATGATTTAAAAACAATATGATATGTTGCAAAAAGATGCACATACAGGAAGAAGAAAAAGTATAAAGAAGTTCATGGAAATAAATCCAGATGCCTCTTAGAGAGAGGAAGGAAAAGAAGCTGGGGAAGGTTCACAGGAGGCAATTAAAGTCAAATGTTTTATTTTGTAAATGGGTAGGTTCATATCTGGAATAAAGATGTGGTCCTTCATTTCTCCTTTAGTGTCGCCTCACTCACCATGATGAATGATGCCCCGGTCTGCTAATTTCTGCATGAGTTTAATTGCTGTCTCTCGGTCAGAAGCCTCTTTGTGCTCAATCAGCCAGTCAATCAGTTCTTTGGCGACGAAGCAGTTTGGGTAGGTTTTGAGATGATGTCGCCTATCTTTAATAACCTTTTCCTCATGCAACCTGAGCCTGGAAAGAAAATTTGGCAATCATTTTAGAAATTTTGATGACAACACAAATTATTAAACCCATCCCAGAGAGCAGTGACAGGATGGAAGCTCTGAAGGTACCAGAGTGGCATCCAACTATTTCAGTGTCAGTGAGTGACGGCCACAGTGTCGAGCCCTGAGGCCCCAGCGAGTGATTTCATCCCCAGATCTACAGGTGATACAGGTAAATGGGAGGAAAATACAACCAGACAACCTAGAGCTCTCCTGCCATTCAGGAGGCTGAAAAAAGCTCTCCCACCCCTCCCCTGACTCACTCCCTTCTATTTATCTCTTCACCAGGGGGCTTACAGCTTCAACCAGCCAACCAACAAAAACTCTACAAACTTGCTGAAACTGGGTATTTCCTCTTCATTGCAGATTGCTCAGGGTCCACCATATTTGCATTCTCAGTCATTCATAGAACAAATATGAATTTATGACAATGTCTATTACCTGCCCATTAGGCACTTCAGGGCATTAGAGATATACATCAGAAAATACACAAAGATTCTTGCCTTTATGGGCCTTGTTTTCTATACAGGCAACAGTTAATCCTTTCATGAGGTTTATTAGGTTCCAGGTGTTGATTTGAGCACATTACATAGATTGACTCAATGTTCACAATAACAATCTAATCAGAAGTTATTATTGCTATCCTTTTCCTCCCTCTCTCCCTTTCTCTCTTCCTTCCTTCCTTCCTTCCTTCCTTCCTTCCTTCCTTCCTTCCTTCCTTCTTCCCTTCCTTCCTTCCAGCAGAGAGAACTGAGACTTGCCTACAACCACTTGCCTAACTAAGATTTGGACCCTGATGGTCTCATTTCAGAGTCCAGCTTTTCAAAGGGCACATCATGCTGCCTCTAGCAGGGGAGGAGTAATAAAAAATCCAGCAGATGGATTAAAGCTGTTGAATAAATTCAATTTGTATAGGCTGATGGATGAGTGTAGCAGTAAGTGGTTGACACAGAGCATTCCCTTATTCCCTTCAGAACTCAGTAACTTTTTTCCAAAAGTTTTAAACCAGTCTGGAAAAAATAGTTTCTCCCATTTATCTTCCTTCTTTGATCAGCCTTGTATTTGTTAATTCTCAAGGGAAGGGTCTGAGTTGGGTGAACCATGAGATCACTTTCCTCCTACTTCACCCACATGGCTCCTATGCTCCTTCCGTCAATCCTTAACATTGCTGAGAAAGAGGAATGACACATGAGAAAATCACACAGTAACTGTGTGATCTGGGCAAGTAGCGTAATGTCTCTTCCTTTCTCTGTAAAATGGAGGCAGTTATGGAGTGCACTAATTAGTTGAGATTTGGGGATATAATGTCTAAGAAGCACCAGCAACCCAGCATAGTGCCTGACACACTGCATGTCTCACCCTCCTTTCTCCCACTCCCTAAGGAAAGAACTGAATCATACTCTCACTGTTTGTGTGTGTGTGTGTGTGTGTGTGTGTGTGTGTGTGTGTGTGTTTTAACAGAGTGCACTAAGTGATATTTAATGGGTTTTGATATCCCAAGGGTCATGATTAGGAGTTGGGAGCATACTGGGCTGGAGCTCTGAGGCTAAGCTGCTCTTCCTTGCTAGACACTGTTATAGGCCAAGTAGTGGTCCCCTAAAATTCATATGTTGAGGCCCTAAGACCTGGTACCCCAGAATGTGGCTGTATTTGGAGATAGTCTTTTAAAAGGCAATTAAATTACAATGAGGTCAATAGGGCGGGCCCTAATCCAATATGATTGGTGTCCTTATCAGGGGAGGAGATGAGGACACAGGCATGCACAGATGGAAGACCACACGAAGACACAGAGAAGGAGGCCATCTATAAGTCAAAGAGAGGCCCTAGGAAAACCAACCCTGCCAATGCCTTTTTTAAAAAAAAATATTAATTTTAGAGAGAGAGGAAGGGAGAGAGAGGAAGAGAGAGAGAAACATCGACTTGTTGTTTCACTTATCTCTGCATTCGTTGTTTGCATCTTGTATGTGCCCTGACCAGGGATTGAACAAAGAACCTTGGTGTATCAGGACAATGGCTCTAACCAATTGAGCTGCTGGGCCAGGGCCCTGCCAATACCTTGATCTCAGATTTCTAGCTTCCAGAATTGTGAGAGAGTAAACTTTAGCTGTTTAAGCCACTCGATCTATGATACTTTGTTATGGCAGCCTGAGCTAAGACAACCAATTGTGGAAGACAGGAGGCTCCTGAGTAGCCTGGGGATGAAGGGCTCAGCTGGGGCATCAGCAGGGGGAAGGGGAGACATCTGTTAACTGCATAGAAACTGCCATTGGCCTGATGTCTGCATCCCCCCAACATTCCTGGGTTAAAATACTGAACCCCAAATGTCTAACCACTATGCTGTGCACCTGAAGCTAATATAATATTGAACATCAACAGTAATTTAAAATTTGAAAATAAAAATTTTAAATTAATTTTAGAAAGAAAGAAATACTAAACCCCCAAATGTGAGTTACAAGGACAGTCAGGAGCATAAGACTAGGGCTATGAAGACCCGGCTCTGGTCCTGACTCTGCCTGTAATTCCAGGCAATCAAACTTCTGAGCATGAGAGTCCCATTGGTAAAAGGGCATCTGCCTGATCACACTGTCACAACGCTCACTAACCGGGATCGAGTTAGCGTTTGAGCCCTGAGCACGTGCCAGGCACAGTTTTAATGGCTTTATTGGTATTAATCCTCATGCCAACTCCCAAGGCGGGTCATGTAAAAACCACAAATGATACCCATGTAAAGGTGTAATTATTAGTAACATATAAATGAGCCCTAATTTAAAAACAAAACAAAAACATGTTCACAGAGGCACTAAAGTCCTCACACGAATCCTTCTAATGAATTCAGTGACAATGACACTTAACAGGCTCAAAGTGGCAGAATGCGAAACATTAATTCTTAGACGTGATGTCCGCCAGGAATTCAAGAATAATGAAGACCAATTTACTTAGAAGTTGAAATGTGGGATACGCTAGCATATAATTTGGTAGAGGGAGAAATAGGTTATGAGCCAAAAGAGGAGTTTTAGCTCCTGTAAACTTTCCAGCTTTAAAATATATATATATATATATATATATATATTAGATAATGTTTATCTTTAAATATTCCAGAATAGAACCTTTCAGTTACTACTCTTTGACGAACCCCAAGCTTGGTTCTGATTATTGAGCATATTTGATTCCCGCCTTGCTCCGTGGGAAAGCACTAGACAGCACCCCTCAGCCCACCAGGGCCTGGTACATTTCCGTGTTTAGAAAACTGAGCAGAAATATGATGGAGGGAAAAGAATTCTGGATAAGCAATATTTTCAAGTTTCATTGAAAAACAACAATTTTGCATAGCTCAGCCTCTCATGGAATCGCATTCTCTAGAAAGACTGCAAAATGCTGAGCTCGGGGCTAAAAGCCACACTTTTAAACCCAGCACCTTGCCTGGACATGTCAGTCATATTGTCTGCCATGTCCAACATCCCCTTTGTGTTAAACTGCCTTCGACACCTTACCCACCCACACAGGGTTCAAACCCCCTGCCTGCTGTCTCTGCGTGGGGCCTCCCTGCCCATGCCCACGGGCAGGTCACAGGGAGACCAGGAGCATAAGGCTCTGCCTGAGTGAAGTGACAGTGATCAGCTAAGCCAAGCAGAATGGCTCCCTCCGAGATTTAAACTAGAGAGACGTTTTCAAGCTTTAGTTGTGCCATAGGACACTTTCTTGAAGCAGAAGTCGCCCAGATGTCAATGTGTAAAGCAGAGCAACGTGGGGTGCTCTGGCTAAAGGGGTTCAGCTGCGGTGTCCAGAGTATTTCCTGATTTCCCCATTCAGTTCTCCCGCATACACCCTCCACATCCTCCATACTGTCTCCATGGAATCCTAGAACAAAGGTCAAAAGTCCGCAGCACTGAAGGACACTGAGGAGTGAGGGGGAGTGGGCGGGACAGCACAGCGAGGCTGAGAGGACAGAGAAAGAAGCCCGTAAAGCTGGAAATGAGAGATGGCAAGAGGCAACCTGAAGCGCCTTGGCTCTGTAGAGTTTTCCAGTCTTCTTCCACCTGTGCACACACGGCAATAACCAGAACAGGACCAACCCCTTCCATGGCTGTGTAAGCCTCGATTCCCTGGATCCAAAGAACCTCCCCTACCCAGGTTCTAAGGAGCGTGTCCTGGAATCATTCCTTCCAAAGACCTTCTACCCTGACCCAGGCCTCCTCCCTCCCAAGCTTCCTTCTCTCTCTCTCTCTCTCTCTCTCTCTCTCCCCCCCCCCCCCCCCCCCCCCCGCACAAGCACACCTGCCCTGCAGTCTGGACACACTGGGCTCTTCTCCATCCCCTGAACATGTCATCGCCCGCCATGCCTCTGACCCAGACAGACCGCCTCTGCTTAGAATGTACCCTTCTCTGGGCTTCATTAATTCAAAAAATTCTGCTTGTTCTTGTTCTTCAGCCTGAACGACACCTCCTCAGTGGACATCTCCCAGCCTTCCAAAGCCAGGAAACAACCTCTCCTCTGTTTTTTCATAATATTTTAATGACACTAATAAAGCATTCATCCCACGGTATTGCAATTAAATGAGGTCAAGGATACGAAGAGAGGGTTGTTTATTTAGTTTTATCATTTTAGTGCCTGGTGCATAGTAGAAAATAGATCTTCAATGATATGAAAAACATTGGTGCCTACTATGTACTCAGGATCAATCCACATCGGCCAAGTCAATCCACACTGTGCCACTGGGGAGAATAACGAATCATCTCTATTTCAGCTGCCTTTTCAATCCCACTGGCTAAGGAATTTCAGTACAAAAACACCTTCCCATCATTCATCTCAGACAACTGGTGCGCAGGCTTAAGATTCAAGGTGATTTTGTAATGTTCTATTCCTGTCCAGCTAACCAGCTGCCGAAATTGCATCAGACAATTTCCTCTTCCCGCCCGAGCAGAACAAACACTACTCGGTTCAGGGTGTTAATAATCCCTGCAAAATTA